CAAAATAAAGTCTCTGTTAATGTAGTGAGCAAATCTCCCAGCTAAGCTATTGGTCCCTTTCCAGTTTAGGTTAGGCCCATCCTTTTTGAACAGGTTTTTTCTATCACAAAGGACATTCCAATTGTCCAAAAACCTGAATCCCTGAGCAATACACCAGCTCTTCAGCTATTGATTTATCTCTTTTAACCATTTGTTCTTTCCCTCGCTTGAGTTTGGCATTGGGAGTAAACCAGAAATTACTACTTTTTAGGTTTTAATTTTTAATCTTCTGCCTAGCCTCTCAAATTCACTCTGTACCGCTTTAATCTTTTCCCTATTGTGTACAATAATTTCTGGCTTCTCAATCTCACCTTTAACAATATGCTTGAAACATTTAGAAACGTCCTTAATCCTAGCACTGGGAAAGCAATAAACCATCCTAAATTTACGCTCATTGCCATAGAATTGCCTGTCTATGCTCCTGACAGGAGAGTCCCCAATAACAATAATTCTATTAAATCTTGTTGAATGCTGCCTAACATAAGAATCATTACAAGTGTCCAATAACTACTGGCCCTTCCATTTTTCTCAGAGAGACTGTCCCCTTCAACTGTTCCAAAAACTGAATATCTATTTGATAGAGGAATAGCCACCGGAGACTTTGAACTACCTTTTTACCTTTCCTGACAGTCATCCACCTATCTGACTGATCCCGCTGTGTAATAACTTTTCTAAATCTACCAGCCATTTCACTTTGTACCTTATATATGACCTTAATTAATTGAGTCTAAAAAAAAAGTTTCAATAGCACTCTATATATACAACATACTACCTTTCATTACCTACAGAAGATATTGTTAAAATGGAAAAAAATTTAAAAAGTATATCAAACATATAAAAATTAAATACAAGCAACCACTTAGTTGATTAGCTGAATAAAAACGATTCTCCTTCAATAAATTCCTCAAAGAACACACTCCAGAAGCTTAAGACCACTGGCAAAGCAGGCTGCAAGATTGATACCCCATCTGACACACTTTGTATTCACTCCGTCGACCAATGATGTACAGTGGCAGCATTTTGTACCACCTACAAATTGCATTGCAACAATGCACCAAAAATCTTAGATAACATCTTCCAAACCTACAACTTCTACTGCACAGAAGGTCAGGGATAGCAGAGGAATGGGAAGAACAGCATCTTTAACTTCCTTTGAAGCCATACACCATTCTGACTTGGAACTCTACCAAAATTCCATTACTACGTCAAAATCCGGGAACTCACTCCCTTGATGTACCTACATCACATAGAATGCTGTGATTCAAAAAAGCAGTAAACACCACCTTCACAAATGCTTTTGAGATGAGAAATGATGCCCATGTCCTTTGAATGATTTAAGAAAAGCTACTCTAAAAATTAGCATCAACAAAAAGAGATTGAACACTAGGATTAGCAAATCAAAACCCTGGTATGTTGTTGGAAACAATGTAAAGTGATTTAAATATTTCAAATGACATAACATTGTCATTGATGTCAGGGGAGCTGGTTGCAGCAGTGAGTTGGCCACAGATACAAACAAACAGCAACATGCATTTGTAAAACAAAACTTCAGTGTAAATCAAAGTTCTTTGCAGAGGCATAATCAAAACAAAAATTACAAATGCATCTAGAGAGCCACAGAATTATTCTTGGCTCATAAAATGGCACGTTTATGAAAATTATAGATTTATTCCTTAATTCTTTCCAAATAGTGCGAGATAGATGGTTGCCCAAGACAATGTTTGTAACTTAAAAGTACATGTAGTTATATTGATGACAAAACTCTCTGGGACATAATGCCACTGGGACTGTGAAAATGTATCTCTGGAATTCAGTCAGTCAGATTTGAAGAATGTATTAAAATGACAAACTGATAACCTTGGGAATTGCAAATGTATGTTGAAGATTTGGGTCACATTTGGACATGAGCTTTGTCTTCTGAGAAGTTTAAGGAGTAATTAGAAATAACGTGCATGGATAAAATTTGAGAGACTCTACAGAAGGAAACACTTAAATAGCTTTTCCATGTTAGATTTTGTTTCTGCTCTCATGAAATACCACCAATACCTCACACAATGAGGTCAGGAGCAATCACCATCTCTTCACCACTGACAGCAAAACTAGACCTTTGTAAATTCCACATTGAACTGTAACTCATTATAATAAATGCTCAAACCCAAATTTAAAGACAATAATGGATGCAAGTGATGGATGGAGTGAAGCAGGAGCTGCTTCTTGAAGAGGTCAGATGAGTTCATGAGGACAATATTTAAATCAGTTAACATCTTACATGTATCAAAATAAAATAGCGCAGATGCTGGAAGTGTGAAATTAAGATGGAAAAATGCCAGAAATATTTTGCAGTTCTGGCAGCATCTGTGGAGAGAAATGGTTCAGGTCTGTAGCTCCTTCTGATAAAAGGTCATCAATCTGAACTGTTAACTTTGTTTCGTTCTCCACAAATGCTGCCACACCTACTGAGTATTTCTAACACATTTTATTTTAACTGATATATATGCTACTCATTTCACCTCTCAATTAGAGACTATGCTTTCAGCTAATGAAAATTAGAGCCACACACTCTACAAATTCCTTTTCATCTCCCAGTTCTCTGTTAAGTCTTCCCTCCCAGCCCAGTCTTTTGACCACGCATTTAGTTGACCTTCTTAATACCCCTTCCTTTGTCAATGTGTCTAATTGTTTTCATTATACCTCTGTGAAGCTCCACAGGACTATTTGCCTTTTCTGAAGTAAAAGGCACTTTTTGAAAGTAATTGTTACTGTTAAAATGCTCACAGATAGTTTGGGATCCAGAGCACGTCATGAATCCCCAATTCATGTCCTTGAGAGAGGGCAAGTTATCAAAGCCAGAAGAACCAGCGGGAAGTAACACTTTGAATTGTGACATTCAAAGTAAAATCCCTCAAGCACGATAGATAAATCCAAACTGTAAAACTTTTGATCAATAGACAAATAGGATTAATTAACTGGATGTCTAAAAGTAAAATTGTTGACTGGTATCTAATTGAGGTGCATAGATAGCTTATGCATGTTAGAATGATAATGGACACTTGAGGCCTAATTAAGTTGTAGAGTTGAATCTAATCATGTGGTTTTGATTGAACGTTAGGTCAGAAATTGTTAAGTGCTGCAGAATTAGGGTTATTTTTCTGTCTTATCTGCAACCTGTATTCTCATCCAGTGAGACCGCTTTACTGCCGAAAATTTCTGCCCTATAATCTCGATGAAAATAGGGATGTGAAATACTATACTTGGAAATTATAATAAGGATAAAGATAACGCAGCCATTTCACGCTGTTATGTTCTGACCAAGAGTCAGAACATTAGAAACCCTCAATTGCCAACCTGCAAGATTCTTTAACTATTAAGTAACCAGCAGTTTGCAGCAGGAATGACAACAATTAGATCACAGCATTAAGCAGGACTGATCAAATCAAGTTTCACTTTAGGATGAATGGTTTAATGTACCTGTCATTGTAAATGTTATCAGATTATCAGAAAACTTTATCTGTGAAAATGCAACAATGCCATGAGAGAACTGTTAGTACATATATTAATCACCAATAATCATAATGTTTGATATCTATTACCTATAAAACATGTAACTGGCAAAGTAATTATGTCCATAGAATGAAATTAAAAGTAACTTCTTTGGAACATTTTTTTGAGAAACTACAAAGAAAATGTAATCTTATGGTATGGTTAAAATCCTGCATGTCATGGCTGGAACATTGCAGAACAATACATGAGGTAAGTCATTGCCAACAACAAGAGATTGATTAGAGCCAGGTCATCAGGATACCTGAGTTTAAAGCAGGATCCAATCTAATGGGAGGAACTAGACATTTTGTGTTTGGAGTTGAACATGTGCCTGGAGCAGGGTGTCAGCTGGAATCTATAATACAGGTATTCAAATGGTGGAAGTTCAAGATAACAGCTACCGGGTAGAGAGCTGTAGGCTGAAATTGAACTGACATTACAGACATGTGACAGTTACGGACTGGCATCAAATTCAACAAGTCGGAAGAGCAAAGCTCAATTTAAAACTAAATCCAGGGTTTCAATTACGGCCTCAAATCAGGCCAAAGTGTTTATCACATTCTACATTCTGTGAATTTTACGTACATCCTCAATCTGTTTTGGGTTTGCTTTCTTGTATCATTAGATGCTACCAGCACCTTTTGAAACCAGTCATATATTTGTACATTAAAAATGTACGTTTGGTTGAAGGAAATAGGGGTCATTGCTGCAGATTTATTCCGATAATTTACAATTAAGACCTGGAATGTAATAGATCCAGTGAAGCTGTGTGAATATATACATATATATAGTGCAGTTGTCAGTTATAATTTTCAACCGCAATGCTGTTAGTGGTTCATTCTTGCGTTATCTACTCCAGATAACGACCACCGGAGGAACACTTCCTGTCACCACAGGACTGTAACACAAACGAAGATTTTTTTTAACCTCTTCTTGAGTCTGCACAGATGGCAGCTATATGTGTATAATGTGTATATGTGATTAAGCAACAAGCCCCTTTGGCGGCGTAGGGACTGCAGATCCCAATCCCCTCATCAGGGGGAGTCGTGAGCACGCGGACCGTAGCGTTGGAACCGAATAAACATGAGCCTTCATAGACCGACTCTTAAAGGGAAAACACACACGCCACTTTTAAAGTAGGTGGCATCATTGATGGTTTCGCTAGGGACGGATGGCTCTTTCGAACGGATTTACAGGCGTCCTGGACGGGTCTTAAAGGTACACTTTAAACAAACAAAAAAATTAGCAATAAAAAAGAGTCTAAAAATAAACAAACTTGAAACAGATTCAAAGCTCTGGCTATCACCCTAAACGCTGTTTTCCTCTCTACAGATGCTACCTGACTTGGTAAGTACTTGCAGCGTTTTTTTTTTGTTTTGTTCAAGCTCTGGCGCAGTTCGTCCGCCCCGGGCCACTCTTACCTGTAGATTTTATATCTGGTAGTAAATCCCTGGCGGTATCTGTCTAGGAAATTGGAATAATCCCGAGCGCGGTGGAAAGGTCCTTTGTCTGAGAGCAGCCAGTCGAGAGGGCTGGTGGCATGTTGGTCTTGGTGATGACAGGAAAGTACCAGAAGTGCCCAGCAGTGGAGGGTTAAAGCCAGCCTGTCCCATAGGAACAGCAAGGAGACGAGATCAACAAGCCGCCAGTTCATCCTTCCATCTGGGACTCTTCCTCTTCATTCTCCTTGCACTCTCTCAAGACCTGTTCCAGTTTAAAAAGAAAGACATTAAGAACAAGGACATCCTGTTTGTTTTGTTTTAAATCATCAAATCTCTCCGAGCAGGGGAGGGGAAGAGCTGAAACAAAACCAGCATTTGCTGGCGAAACTCAGCAGATCTGGCAGCATCTGTAAGGAGAGAAAGTAGAGTTAACGTTTCCAGTCCGGTGACTTTTCATCAGATCAGGGGAAGAGCTTGATGTCCAGGAAAGGCACCATGAGAGAGAGGAAAAATGGAATGGTGCAGAATGGATTTGTCAGGGTATAGGGAACAGGAGTGGGGCGATTATATCATGCCCCGTGACCTCCCCAGAGTCAGGCAGGTCAGTATACACACTCACAGAGATACATTCGCAAAACACAGTCTGACAAATCCTCAGATATGCTCAATACAAATCACAACCAAGCACACAGCCAGAGTATACTCCACACGGACATTGCCAAACTCACACTCAGAATATACTCCACACAGACTCAGCCAAACACACCCCAGAATATGTTCAACATAAAACACAGCCAAACACACCCCAGAATATAATCCACACAGACACAGCCAAACACACACACAGAATATACTCAACATAAAACACAGCCAAACTCACATCCAGAATATAAGGGCACAGAACACAGCCAAACATACACTTATAATAGACTACGCATCATACAGTGGAACACATACCCAGGATATGTTAATCACAAAACACAGTAAAACACATACAATCTAAAACTCAATACAAAACACAGCCAAACATACACTAAGAATCCACTCAATATAAAACACAAACACACACGCAGAATGTACTCCACACGACACAGCCAAACACACACCCAGAATACAGTCAATATAAAACAGTCAAACACACACCCAGAATGTATTCAAATAGATTAGAACCAGATGTACACACAGAAACAGGGATGTGTTGAAACATGAAATACAGCCAGAAAGGTTACTGTATCTGAACACAAATACACATACAGAGAAACAAGGGTCTACTGAAACGCAATATACTGACACAGAGGCACAGATCTTAGCTGGACAACCAGGTGTACATACACACATGACGGAACACCAAGTTAATGAGGTAATTCTCTAGGTTTTGTTGTGGACGTGGACAAGTATTCAAGGAGGTAGACAAACAGCTTTAACCCACATCCACACATGATGGGGCTTGAGTAAAATCTCAAGAAACCACACGCACACACACACAAACACAAACAGGCAAATACGCAATCAGGCGCTGACATTTTTCTAAAAAAAAGCTGCACACACAGATAGACACCAGTATTTTGATAGCTAAGACTGATAGATGCAGAATCTCAGAAAAAAAAAGCATCCCTCCGCCCAAACACTGATACGCAGTTCATTTCTACAGAGCAAGCACATCTTTATGTCAATGAAGAAGAAGAATAAATTGAAAGACGGTTACAGAGGCTCACACCTAGACACGCGCACAACAGCAGATATACACACAGGTAGGTACATATACACGCAGGCACAAACACATTTGATACTGCAGTGATATGTCTGAAGCACAGGCACACAACAATTAATAAGGGAAACCATGCTTCAGCACTGTTTTAATAAACGTGTTTGCTGTACTCATTATCACATTGAAACAACCAACATTTAATTTGACAGAATTTTAGCAAAGAGCGACTTTGTCTTTGACCTTAAATGCGCTTAGAGGTAATTCCTAGCTGTTTCCTCAGAAAGAGACGGTGGAAATATTTAAAACAAATCTTTAACTTCTTCTCCTCTCCCATTCCCCTGCACGTCGGGTGCAGACTGTCCTCAAGGAGATTGCACAGAGACGAACGCGGTCTTTGGAGGGTTAATCAGCCGCCCCTCCGGTTTGACTGTGGTGTGCTGAGATCTCAAATTAGTCCCAAGGCATCGCATTACCTCTCCGAGCTGAAGGAACCAGCGACAAAACTGCTGCCAATCCTGAACTTGGCAGCTTTTCTAGGGCTCTTGAAAGCGAGTAGCTGGGAATTGGGCAGAGGATAGAGAGGAAGGTTGGGGGGTGGGGGAGTGGTGTGTGTGGAGGGCTAGGCTGGGGAAGAAAGCAGAGGGATTGCAAGTTGTCGGCATCCCTCCCCGCCTTCGCAGTTCCTAAATCGAGTAGAGGCAAAAGACAGCACGTCCCCTTGCCGAACCCGACAACACTGACCTTTCTGACACAGTCTCTCGAAGGCTGGTGGACCCATGGCGCTCCGATCTGATCTCTCGACTGTGCAAAGTGAACCTCTCAACCGCTGGCTGGGCGAGCGGGCGCAACTCATCTTATAAAGCCTTCCTGGGGCAGGACGCACATCCAGAGAGAGAGAGAGTGAAAGAGAGAGAGAGAGAGAAGGCAGATGTGGCTGGACTGGGATGGGGTGGATAAAGTCAAGTAACGTTCACCACGATCCCTTTCCCACTCTTACTTCGAGAAGCCCATTGGGACAAAGCCACAACTAAGGTCATTCACTTCCGTGGAGAGGGTCTGTATCCTGGGGACGGACAGGCGAACGGCTGGGTTTGTCCCCCATCCAAAACGTGAGTCTGGAGTCCAAGTGGCTCGCACGGGCTCCTTTGAAGACGGGTGACAGATGCCCCGAGAATAAAAGATTCCGGAGAGGAGGTCCATCCGTTCTCTCCCACCCACTGGTCACATGCTTGTCTGTCGGGTCACCCTTTGCCCCACGTCGCTCGGTTTGCTCAAAAAAAAATAAAATCCCCTCCTAGATTCCCGGGAGCTCCTCGCTTGTCTCCGTGTGACCAGAAAGCGGAGCGACTAAATGCAGATGGAGCTCCGAACTCTGCATTTATAAACCCAAGGGGAGGGGAGGGGAGGGGTTGGTGGGGGGGGGGGGGGGGGGTCGGTGTTAGGGATGGTGGTGTTGGGGAGGAGGAGAGGAGGGGTGGCGGGGGAGAGTGAGCCTCACTGAGAAACCAGCCTCCTTATACACCGCCTATCGGATCTCACAGTCTCCCATCCAATGATTTCCTCACAGGCACCACTGTCTCAAGTCAACCCACCGCACAAACAGTTAATGGGTCCTGTAATCAAACAGCTCCCACCTTTGCATTTGACAGAACGGTTAAAACAAGCCAACGGAGAGAATATGGCAATAACAATTTAAGAGAGAAAAGATATGTGGTTTCGTGTAATCCAACGAAATTAACGCCAGTTAACAGACAGAATTGTATCCAAACTGGAACGTGAAGTGCTTTTGAGTCTGGGCTTGTTACCCAGCTCAGTGAAGTTATGTAGATGACTTGACGTTAGTTGATTCTGCCCGTTCTCGTTCCTTCAAACCGGCTCCTGACCACGGGGCTGTGTCCATACCACCCAAGCCCACTTCCCTCCCCACCCTGGCTTATCGCCGCCTGCTCCCTCCATTCTCCGGGTGCTCCATTTCAGCACAAGCAGTGGCGGACAGCTCACCTCAGCCTTCTGCTTCAGATGGGAGCACCGGGAGACACGGGCGAGCGGATCCGCGGGGGAGAGCGGGTCAAACGCTCCGGCGACCTCCTTCCCCTGGCCGCTCTACTCCTCAGATGTTGGGGTTAAAATACCGGCAAAACCCACGCAGCAGCTCACCCCACCCAGCAATTCTCAGGGAGGGAGAGAGAGAGAGAGAGCGCTTCAGTAGCTGGCTGTACAAACCTGTCCTCTACCTGTCACTCAGTCACCTTCCCGGGGAAGGAATCACCCGCTTACTTCCATCCTTCCATCTATCTATCTATCTATCTATCTATCCATTTATCTGTCTGTCTGTCTATCTATTTATCTGTCTGGCTATCTATCAATCTGCCTGTCTATCTATATCTATCCATCTATCAATCTATCTATCTGTCTATCTATCTATCTATCTTTCTATCCATCTATTTATCTATCTATCTGTCTCTAAGCCTGGCCCAGTAGTATCCAGACAGACTGCTCTCGCCACATAGCCCTCCTCATGCCACTGTATGATGTACGTATCAGAGGGAATGGTCGTGCTGAATGGGACAGCATTTTTTGGACCATTGCTGCTCGCTCCCTCAGTTCAGTCACAATTCAACTTCTGGACATTCTCCAGAAGGGAACCACTTCGCTCCCAGCCGCCAACTTCCCCAAGTATTAAAATACCTTCCTCAGACAGCACAGACAACGGGGGCTGTTCCAGCGAAAGGATGGTGGGGAGTAGGATAGACCATACCCGCCTCACTCCACCTCTGAATGGATCATTCATCCCTCACCCCCCTCCCACGCCCCACGCAATCCCCTTACCCACGCCGCTCCCCGAAACCTTCAACAGCAGAAAGTTTCAGGATATTATCCCACTCTGAATCCCAGGAGATGCTGTGTGTGCGCTGGGGATCGGGAATGCTGCTAGGATATGAAGGAGGAGAATGAACGCCCGAAGTACATCCAGAGGGCTTGGTCTTCCCTGAATCTGATGGAATTCAGAGTCAAGGACATGCGCTTTCTCAATCTGCCAGATTGGAAGTAACGCCGGGGCAGAGGGAGAGGAGAAGGGACCGCTTCCCACGCAGTATCTGGACCTGTGCTGGAAGAACATTAGTTAAAGAGACTTCCACTAGCGTATTGACTGACCGCAATGAAACATCCTAACACAATGCATGAACATGAAGGAATCTACATAGTTCTCTCGCCCAGTTTACTCAGAACCAAACACTCAGTAGAATGTTAAATAGTCAATTTATCACACTGATTTCAGGGAAAATCATATTCAATATTAATACCTAGCCTGTAACGCCTGTCCTTGGGAGGGATGATCCACTTGATGGCACAAGTATTGATGTGAAACCAAACCAGCCAGGTACATATACGAGTGGAGGCGATGGGGCGGGAGAAAGGTTTGACACTTGCCTCACTGCAGGTGAGCTTAGCTTTTCTCTCTCTTCCCCGGGCTCCGCCTGAGCTTGGTGGGGGGCGGGGGTGCGGGGGAGTGGAAGGAAATGGCTCGGGATCAGTGGAAGGCTAAGGTGCTGGTGGTAGGTGAGGAAAGAGATGTGGGTGAGGGTGAGGGTTATAAGAAATAGGGCTGTCACTTACCAGGAGTCGAAGCGGACGGGGATGTTCAATTTGTAGAGAAGGTCCAGAATTCCCCAAGGAGAGTAGAGAGCTGGGATCTTCTCCTCAGCTCAGAGATGGTCTACTCTCCAAATCACAAGCTGACTTCCACCCCCCCCTTCGTTTCTCTCTCTCTATCACTGAGGTGCCTCTCCCTTTTTACACGTGGATTGTCCCCTCCCTCCTTCCATAGGAACTGCGCAGAAAATAGGACGACCATACACACACACAAGAAAAAAAGAACACCGATTGGGATTAAACAAACGAGGCTTGTCTCTTTATTTCTCCCTCTCCTTTAAAAAAAATCCGGGATCACTTCCAGTTTGGAAGAGGGGTGGTGTTGGGGAGAGAGAGATAGATTTCAAAGGCAGGAGGAGGGATCAATGCCAGAGCTAGTGCCAACCCTCCCCCCTTGTTCACTCCAGCCGTGGGTCCTGCCGTGGAGTATTTGAATGGAGTTGCAGTCTCGGCTTGCTCCCAAGTTGTCAGTGCGCAGTTAGCTCCCCTCCAACCCCCCTCCCCACCTCAATCCACCCCCTGCCCCATCCTCCTTTTAACAAGCCGACTGCTGGCTGAGCCCTTTTTTTTGTTTTGCAATCTGTATGTGTGAGGCTGGGGAGGCAGCACAGTGATATTTGCTGCTTTATTCGGAGAGGGAAGGGAGGTACAGGAAGGGGGTGCTGTGCTGGGATAATGATGGTACCAGTAGCACGGCTGCCGCTGTTGTTGCTGATGTTGGGGGCCATGCTGTGGGCCGTGCTAGCCTCTGGCCTCGATGCCGGGGACGGAGAGCTGCCTGCCAAGGACGGCGAGTGCAAACTGAAGACGGTGAGCGTGTCGGCGCTGCCTTTCCTGCGGGAGAACGACCTGAGCATCCACACGCCGCTGTCCGCCGAGCCCAAACTCCTCTTCTCGGTCAGAAACGACTTCCCCGGCGAGGTGGTCGTGGTCGATGACCTGGAGAACACCGAGCTGCCTTACTTCGTCCTGGGTGAGTGTGAGCTTCGTCTTGCGACTGGTTTCAGGACTACCCCCCCTCCCCCACCTCCCCAACTGTCTCTGTGTGTGTGTGTGTCTGTGTGTGAGAGAGAGAGACGTTGAGGTGTGTGTAGGAGACAGCATGTTATATTCCGCATGTTATATTCCTGTCTCCCCTTGCTCTTCTGGCACAGCTCAGGCGAGGTTGCCATTGTGATTTTTTTTTTGTTATTTATTTATTTCCCTGTGTGTGTATCTCTCAGGCATTAAGTGCTTTCCTGTTCATGGCAAGGGGGTTTGGGGGGCTGCACAGGGATATATGTTCTGTGATGGAACAGGGCAGACTCTTGTGTTCCTCAAAGGTTCTACCTAGTCTGGCCTCTGAACCACAGGTTTCAACTCTGGGCTGGAAGGAACAGAGTCTTACCCTCCCCCAGCTCTCGAAGTCCACAGCGCTTGCTCAATGCTTTCCCTTTACGGACTGACAAAAGACGTCTGGAATCCGATGGAGGAGTGAGGGGAGGCAACTTTCTAACGGGGTTCTGTCCATCCATTCGGTCTGCTCCAATGATACTCATACACAGCGATACCAGAACTTGCAGTGTTGGGAAATAAACAGAGTGGGAGGTGAAAAAAAAAGCACAATGAAAATGAATTCATTTTGCTTCATTGGAGCCGGGTTGCTGTGGTTTAGATGAGAAATAACAGGATTCAGAGGGGCTTCTGTTTATTTGGCCCTTCAAGCTTGCCCGAGGGAGGCAAAAGCTACTGGGCATGACACGCTGTGTATATTGACAATTTATATGACGTCGCACCAAGGTACTTGATAGGGAGTGCACTTCCACATATTAGCAACACACACACCCGCCGATTTGCTGAAATTATGGATATGGCAAGTTCCTCGTACTGGAATGTGGAGCCATTCTGAACCTGAGTTTAAAGCAATGGACACAAATAATAGTCCAGCCAGTTCAACTACTCAATGCATAATAACACCAACTTGCATTTGTAGATATCTCTAAGCGACCAGTGATGTTATGACAAATCCGTGGAGCAGGTGGGAATAGAAGCTAGGTCTTAGGATCCTAGAGGTTAAGACGCTACCGTGTGTCACAAGGGGGCTTCCAACTTGTATTTATATAGTGATTATAATGTGGTAAAATATCTCAAGGTGCTCTATAGCTATATTAACTGACAAAATTTGACACAATTGATTGATGAGACATTACAACAGGTGAGGAAAAATTTGCTCAATGAAGTTGATTTTAAGGAGCTTCTTAAAGGAGGAAAGGGAATTCACCATGAGGTGGTTTGGAAACAATTCCAAAGTTTACGGCTGAGGTAGATTAAGGCATGACCACCAATGGAGGCCTGAATTAAATCCAGAATGCACAAGTCGCCAGAATTTGATGAAGGTTGAGTTCTTGGAGGGTTTGGGGAAGTTGCAGAGTTAGAAAGGTATGTTGCTTTATGACAAACTTAACAGAGTGTAAGAGTTATGTCATTCTCATACCAATGAGACTGTGACCCCACTAAGTGGGATTGCAAATCAACACCAAATTATGGACAATTTTAGGCTACAGTTCAATGTTCAACGACTGGGTTAAAGGCATGAGCATTTATTTCACACAAGATCTTTGCAGTGAGTGGCCAGAGGAGACAATATGAGGTGGATTTTAACCTTACTTTGAACCATTCATTCCACTGGGCCACCCACAATCCCCAGAAGCAAATTCAGAAATAGCAATAAGAAAGCCAGATATTTATTGTGACATCTATTGAACTTGAGCTTGAAATTAATCAATTTTGGCAATCACTTCTCTACCAATTGCAGTTACCTGGATTATTGCATAAATGTTTGTACAGTGGTTTAAAGGGGATAGACCAGATTAACAATACTGCATACAGGTTCCAGGTTAACCACTAACAATGTTTCCAGAGGCCTGTTAATACAGTCTAAACAGACTCATCATTAAAAATGAACAATGCACTCACATTTGCCTTCCTCAATCTTTGCTTTCGTCATCCTACACTCACACATGCTGTGCTGTTAATTTGGTGTTCAATTTGCACTAACTTATAGAAATCCCTATTGTGCTTCCTGTAAAGAGTAACAAAAATATGTTGCATTGGACATGTACAGTGTGCCTGTTCCTGTTAGAAAAAAGACTGCATTGAAGATCCCCAGCCAACTTCAGCACTTTCTACAATCTGTCACAGCCCAAATGTACAGGCTCTTTCTGGCAAATACATTGAGCATCCGTGATACTTGATGGAACAAGCTTCAGACTCTGAAGATTCCAAAAAACTTAGAACATGCATTTGAATTTTAGTTGGAATGTGAGCACTGGGTTGTGTCAACACAGTATGAGATGATGTTCTCCAAAGTTGAGTACTAGTTGCTGTATTTTGGTGAGAGCAAAAATCACTGAAACATTAATTTGGCCATTGCTGTTTGTGGGACCTTTCTGCATGCAAGTTGGCAACTACGTTTCCTCCATTACAAAAGTGACAACAGTTTAAAAGTATTTTGTTGGCCTGCCAGTACTTTGGGATATCCTGGAGTTCTGAAAAGCTCCATATAAATGCAAGTTAATCAGGCTACTACAAAATATTTACAATGACTCAGAAAAGATGTTCCTATACTTTATATTGGCAGGTTAGTTATAATACACAATTTACTTAGATACAGATTAGTTCGTATATTTCAAGTGCATTGATTTGAGCTGAACACTAATGTAACTACAGATGATAAAAGTTATCCTAAACAGGAATTTTTGAAATGTAATTTTTAAATCCACTTTACATTTAAGTAATCAATTAACAGAATAGAATTTGCTTAGACTATTGCAGAGCACCATGCTTACTGAATATATACTGTACATATAAATACGTAGAAACATTACAATTCTGCCAAAGTCATTCATCCCATTATCAACTGACATTGGGGTGGCACAGTGGCTCCGTGGTTAGCACTGCTGCTTTACAGCACCAGGGACCAGGTTTGATTCCACCCTCAGGTGACTGTCTGTGTGGAGTTTGCACATTCTCACTGTGTCTGCGTGGGTTTCCTCTGGGTGCTCCAGTTTCCTCCCACAATCCAAAGATGTGCAGATTAGGTGGATTGGCCATGCTAAATTGCCCGCAGTGTTCAGGGATGTGTAGATTAGGGGGATGGGTCTGGATGGGATGCTCTGTGTGTCAGTGTGGACTTGTTGGTCCAAAGGGCCTGTTTCGACACTGTAGGGATTTTAAGATAATGAATAGTTTTTAAATTACTATTAAAGATCAAGAATAAATTATTGGATGACACTATAATGGCGTATTGCATAGACTCATGCATCTTTCAAATTCAAATTAACACTAAGATCCACTCTTGATAATCCTTTCTCCTACATATGGGTCTGTGATCACCTTCAAATAACAACATGAACAAAAAACACATAGCACCATAGCAATATATTAATGGCAAAAAAGACCTACTAACTACATGTGTAAACACATATCACTGAATGAATTTAAAGAGTAATTTAATCTCCAGGTTCAAATGGCAAAAAGAATCACTTAAAATTCACCCCAAGTGTACAAAACCATTTCAACTGTTGATTGCAACTTATCAAAATGTATACTCTGGTATATCAAATTGCAACTAGTATTAAATATCACTTTAAATGATGGTTGAGTGAGCAATTTTTTTCCAGATTGTTTGGTATTGTACTGTTGTAATGTAACATTAGAATGCACTGCTGAAATTCCTGTGTGGAACTACTGAAATTGAACTGTTTTACAACATTTGCAGCGTGAAATCAAACAATAACCATTGATTAAGCAATGAGTATTATGGCTTATTTAAAATCATTTTGATATTGTAGGATTATGTGAAAAGTGCATTAATATAAAGTCATTTCTGAAACTTAAAGAAAACACAAGGATAAAGGCATCACCAATATTTTAGAATTTTTGATGGGCAAAGATATTGGTTGGTTATATATTCAAAACTGGTGTCATAAAGAACTAATCATTTACTTTAAGTGATAGAAATCAAATACCAATGTATTATTTATTAATTATAAGTAACTAAATGACCATATTTTTATTCCTATTTCATACAGTCATAGAATCATAGAACACAGAAGAAGCTCTTTGGCCCATTGAGTCTGTGCTGACCTATCCACACTAATCTCATTTTCCAGAACTTGGCCCATAGCCTTGAATTTTATGACATTTCAAGTGCCCATCCATATATATGCCCATTTTAAACACTGTGAGGTTCCCAACCTCCACTGCTCTCTCAGGCAGTGCATTCCAGATTTCCACCACTCCCTGGGTGAAAACAATTTGCCTCAAATCCCCTCTAAACCTCCTGTCCTTCACCTTAAAATTATGGACTCTTTAACTAAGGGCAACAGCCATTTTCTATCCACCCTGTCAATGCCCCTCATAATTTTATATACCTCAATCAGATCTCCTCTCAACCATGTCTGCTGTAAGTCCTAATCTTAGTTGTGATTTATTAACATGTTCCAAATTGATAATAAATTGGTGGGTTTTTTTGTGAAATGATTAAGTAATCAATTAACTCTAATGGCTGACAGGCAGTACATAATTATATACATTCCCAAGTACTTGAAATTTTCGTAAGTGTTTTAAGATAAGATTTTAAAATAACATTCTTCAATAAAATTATATATGTTGTTTTTAAAACATTACAATTTTGTAAAGTATACATATTGAATAACATGTTAAAACATAACCATATATTTTCCTTTGCTGGCTCAGACTTGTGTGATCAACACATGTTCTTTTGGGTCACATAGGGATATGAAACAGGACCAGGGAATTCAGCCCTCCAGCTGATTCTGCCATTCAATGAGATAAAGCTGATCTAAAGTTTAATTCATCCAACCCCTGAAATGGCACCACATCACTTAATATCCTTGGCTAGCAAAAGGCCATCAATCTCAGGTATAAAAGTAGTGTTTTTTTTTAAAGTTAGCTAAGATTTATTGCTTT